AGATTTACAAGACACGGTTGTCATTTACTTTGATTCTTACTACCAACTGAAATTAGAGTATAGTAATACTTTTATTATAATGACAATACATATTTCAATTATTACCCTTTGAGTCACATAAAATTTTAATTATTTCTTAGATAATCAAGAAAAGACTGCTTCAAAAAAAAAAAGAAGCTGGGTTATTGGAGAAGCAGGAGGTCATAATCTCTGTAAGATGCATAATTTCCCAAATACAATTCCCATTTATGTTTTACGTAAAATCTAAGTCTGCTTTTCTTCTCATATTCAATTCTAGGCCCACTTCATCTTTCACCTAAAACTTTTTTTTTAAGATGTATGTGTTGTTGGATTAACTCAATGAGTGGTCCATTCAACTGCATATCATAATCAGGGCAGCATATATCCTTCATCCACTTTGTTTTTTCTAGCATAAATTGCTACATTGATCTCTTTTGAGTGCATATGGATATCATTAAGGAATGCTGTGTTGTTTCACAAAAAAATCTAGAAAACACTCCTGTAACAGGGAATTTGCTTCTACTTGGCCTTTGCATAGGATATTGCCTCAGACATCTTTCGTGAGCATGTCCCCCTCTTTTATAATCTGCTTGATACTAATACAGAATGGAACACTGAATACAACTATCTCTATGCTCAAATCTACTATTTTTATACATGGGTGAAAGTAACTTAATAGAGGGATATCTTCAAGCAAGGCTGCATTATTGCTACTGAATCAACTGCTTTAGTGAACAAAAAAGAAAGCATTTTATATTCACCACATCTCTCAAATACGTAAATGTGCAGATGGGGTTTGCTATAGAAAATCATATGTAAAAGCCTGCCTTTCTCCTTCTTATATACACATTGCTAATAGAGGCTACTCTCATAAATATTTTATTTTTAAAATGTAAGTTTCTCCTTACAGCAGCTCTTGAATCTCTCAATGTCAAATTTCATTAAATTACATTACTCAAGTTCATGGTTTTTTCAACTCTAAATAAAGTTATATTTTACAGTTAGTTATGTAGCATCCATCTAAAGTATACAGTTGATAATATAAGATTCATTCTCATGTTTTAGGTTGAGGCCATGGCTGAGCCTACTTAGTTATCTCTGTATTGGATTCAGTACTAAAAAAACCACCAGAGAAAAATTAAATGAATATTCATGAAACAGAACTTTGCTTTATATATATTTTTATAAAACATTAGGTAATTAATTTTTAGTACATGGAAATCTATGAAACAAAGAAAAACACAATATTGTCTACAGACCCCCATTATCTTTAGCAGTACTGGTGACAAAAGTAGCACAAAATGGGTTCTGATCAACTATAAATATGAATTTAACTGTTGCTGCCTTAATTATGGGATCCTTGTCCAAGAGCAAGTGAGTTAACTAAGGGAATGAATCATATCAATATGAACATTCTAGTCACAAGGGAAACCAGAAGGCAGGGAAGGTAAGCTCCACGGAAGATGGTAGATGGTCACAGGTTCTCACTGCAGAGGCACACAGAAGAACTGGCCTCATTATGAATAAAAATTACAGATGACTCCAAGGACAAATGAAGAAATGCTTGGTGGGTATTTTGCAGTAGGTCACAAGATATAAAAAGCTATTATTTAGGAAAATTATGATTGGAAAATCTTGGACTAGTTGAACAACCTGAATGTCACACTGGTACCTATAGAATGTTAAAAGACCTGGTAGAAAGCCTCTAGTCACTGGATAAGTCATATATGGAGGACTAATAGGAATATATGTCAATCATTCTGTGACTCAGTTTTCTTTTCTTTCTTTCTTTTCTTTTCTTTTTTTTTTTGCTCTTTGGTGAGGCAATCAGGGTAAAAGGGACTTGCCCAGAGTCACACAGCTAGTAAGTGTTAAGTGTCTGAGGCTGGATTTGAACTCAGGTCCTCCTGACTTCAAGGCCAGAGCTCTACTCACTGCTCCACCTAGCTGCCCTTTTTTTCCTTTTTTTTCTTTTTCTTTTTTTTTTGGGGGGACTCAGTTTTAATGTGTACCACTGGAGAGGGTACCCACATTGAGAAATTCATGGATTTATTGAAATATTAAATATGTGCATGTATGTATGCATACGCACATCTAAAGCACAACACTGTTAAGTCTCAATTATTAAAGTAATGAATCCCACTTAGTGCGAACAATGAAGCCTGTGAAGCAGGTCATTTGTGTTTGAATTCACATTATTTAAAGTTATATTTATGTAAACTATGATAATTGATCAAAGCCCAGTGGAAACATGTAATGAAAACTGAAATAATGTGATCATCTTATGAGGATTCATTGTTTGCAGTAATCTAGACCTAAATGTATGTCTCTTTATTTAATGTTCCTTTCCAGAATTAAAAATAATTAATATAACATTCATCATATGGGTCCAATAATTTAGAATTTTTATAAAAAAACTGTACAAAGCAGGAAAACTGATTAGTAACCATTTTTTTCATCAAGTGAATTCTTAAAATTCAATCATTTTGGATATTACAAAAGAGTTTAACTTCAACAATCATTTTATTATTTTCTTTTTAAAGCTTTCAGTCATTCACATTTTTCTTCCTTCTCATCTCCCCCCCACCTATTGAAAAGAAAGAAATATAGAACTCCTTTATCACATAAGTACAGACAAGCAAAATATATTCCCACAATCGATCTACATATCCCTGAAAAGATGTTTAACATTTTTCCTGGTCTTCAAATTAAGATTTTATTATTACCAACATTTCACAATGATTTGAGTGCAATTTTCTAGATAACTGGTAGGCTCAATGGAACATTTAATCAACTGAGTTCCAACTTTAATGTGAACCTGCTTGTAGTATCATGATGTTCACTGAAAACAATAACATCATACTTTTGTTCCCATTTCATTTCTGAAACAAACCTCCTAGGCCTGCCCCTGAGAATTTAATGGGAAAGGAATCCAATTACTCAGTCATAACCAGTTATCAATTCAGAAACTATAATCTAAATAACACTGTCAAATGGTTTCATGCTTCATATGAAGAACATTAACAATAAAATAACAATAAAACATCATTTCAGATTGAGCAAACCAACAATCTAGTAACAAAATTGTTTCCAGGTCATGAATATGCCAAGGGCCACAACAGATGAATTACCATATGTTACTAGTAAAAATGCATAAAATTTGAGGTTGCAGGAGCAGTTAACATGTTTATGTATTGAGCATATTATCTAGGATAGGTTCTGATATCTACCAATTAGCCTTACCAGATGGATTTATAGTAGACAAAATAATTATTAAAACTAAAACTGCACAAAAGAAGAATGTTTCCCAAATAATGAACATGAGCGAATATAGTTTATACTTAACTGACAAGTATTGCTGCAATCACAGGTTCTGACCAAGACAGTCACTTAATCATAGCAAAAGAGCAAATTGATGACAAGATTAAAAGCCTTCTATAGACATAGTGGGGAATAATATCTTTGTATGTGTTTTCTTTAACTGTACCATTGGATGAAAATACATATTTTTTGTTTTATGGTCACAGTCTAAGAAAGTGCAGAACAAAGGATTAGAAACTAGGTTTTTGAAAGCTTAATCCAAATTAACAAGTTTTAAAATATGACACAGTATTAACATATTAAAAGTTATATTTTACAATTTAGATAACATGACCAAAATTAGCCTTGCCATGAGAAAATTTAAAGCTAGACTATCTCTTTGAGAGCTCATTGTATAAAAATAATGTGTAATCACAACTATAATCCACATTTACAGATAGCATACTTTCTCATTAAACAAAGATGCTAAGAATCTACTTGGAAAATAGCTGATAAATACCTAACACAGAAAAAAAATTAAGATTAAAGTTGGTTAATGGGTAGAATAAGGAAGGAATAAAGGGAAATCAGAAAATGTATAGTGAGTATACTTTAGATCATGAACTGTACCTCAGTGGAGCACATAAAATTTTTTATTTTAAAAAAAATATTGGTGTGGATCTAAGATTTCAACAGCACAGGGAACTCCTGATGAGAAAACTCCTTTTGCTGAAGCAGCTTAGCAAGTACAATGCAACTTAAAGTTTCAGGGAGTTGCCTTGAACTAAGATGTTAAGCGACTTGATCAACATATAAATGTGTGTGTCAGAGGTAAGACTTAAAATGAAGTCTTCCTGAAGGTATTCTTGGCTCTAGGGTTGGTCCTCTATCCACCACATCATTTTATCAACTTCTGTGCCCAAAACCTGCCCTAGACATTATAAATTTTTGGTGAGATTGATTTTCATTTTACCCTAAGAAAAATAAAGTACAATCTGATAACTAAGTATGTATTATAATAATTGACACCACAAATAAAGTAGTGGACCTGAAGTAAGGAAGACCTGAGTCTAAATCTGGCCTCCCATATTTACCTCTGTGTGATCCTGGGCAGGTTGCTCAACCTTTATCTGCCTCAGTTTTCTCATTTGTAAAATTTGGATAAAAATAGCATCAACATTCCACGCTTGGTATGAGGATAAAATAAGGTAATATCTGTAAAGTGCTTTGCAAATCTTAAAGTGCTTTATAAATATTTGCTATTAATATGTATATAAAATACACAATATATTAATCTATCTCTATGTGTATATATAATATATACCTAAATCTAGATATGTGTGTGTGTGTGTTTGTGTGTGTATGTGCAGAGAGAGAGAGAGAAAATTTAAAATGAAGTATAAAAGTTTTTGATAATATGCTACATGGTAAATAGACAACCTTAAAAAAATAAAACCACATTTAGAATGCTGTAGATACTTTGTGATGTCCCTGTGTTTAAGAGCAATTACTTTCCAACAGAGAAAAGCCAATTTTAAATGATATGTCAAAATTCTAAGTCTCTGGTCATCCTGGCTAAGTGCATAAAACAAAATAGATGAGAAGACACACAACTAGACGCCTGGTCTTACCTAATCACAGGTTCTTCTTCTACCCCACCATCATCTCACTTTCCATACCTGAGAAGAAATAAGCTTTGAAACCCTTCTTAGAAACGGTGTTGTCAGATTTGAATTCAATCCTCATATTGTTCAACTGGGAAGTGATCATTTCAGGCACTTCTGCCCCACAAAATTTGCCATGTAATTTGGAGTCTGAGGACAATCCACTTCGGATCTCCACGTAATCATATTTGCAAACCTGTGGCAGGGGTGAAAAGTCTTCATTTCAGTCAACTTAAAGGAATTTTAGAAGAGAAGAATATAAGACCCTTGAGGTTAGGGACTTTTTGGTTTTTGCCTGTTTCCAGCATCTTGTTTATCTCAGTAATATTCCACTGCCAAATCCTATTACATGACAGTTGCTTGATAAATACTTTTATTTTTTTTTTCCAATTGAGCCGACTTTTACCAGGATATAATGTCCTTGATACTCTAACTTTTCTGCTTATCTTTATCATAGAAAGTTGAAGGCTGACAGCTAAAGGGGAAAACCAATGAAGAAAAAGGATCACTTTCATATGATTATGGGATCATGGATAGAACAGACTAATCTTACATGTCCGATGTCATCTACTCTACTCCCTTCATTTTCTAGTTAAGGAAACTGAGGCCCAGAAAATGTATGACTTGCTATTGCATAAAATGTAGACTTGGAGTCAGGAAGACCTGAGTTCAAATTCTTCAGATACACACTGGTTGTCTGACTGTGAGCAGGTCACCAAGCCATTCAATCTCTCATCTGTAAAACAGGGAAAATTGTACTACCTACCTCACAGTTGTTATAAGGATCAAATGAGTGTGTGCGTGTGTGTTCATACGTTTGTGTGCAAGTGTATGTATATGTGCGTATGTATATATATATATATGTATATACAAGTGTACATATATGTATTTGTATATATATACATTCATATAAACACCCATATATATTATGTGTGTATATGTGTGTGTAAGGAGTACATTGCAAATCTTAATGCACTATAAAAATGCCAGCTGCATAAATACTAGCTTAGTGATAAGAAGTAAAAGACAGTAAAAGGAAGGGATAAAAGGGATGTTCTAAGCAGCTACAAATTAAGGGAATCAGAGAATAATTAGCATCTTTAGTGGTTTTCAATTTAATAGTCACAAGCACAGAAGATGGGAAAAAAAACAAGACATTTTCCCTCTAAGAATTCAAATCCAAGGTTCACAATCACATCTTTTTAAAAATTCAATAAAACAATTTTAACTTAAAATTTACATTAATTTTTATACTCTTTGAATTAATTGATGGAATGTCTAGTTGTCCTTCAGAGAAGTGGGGGCAGGGATTTCTATTAAAACTATATATATTTGTTTTATATGCAATGCTCTAATTAAGGAGTTAAGTGAATGCAAGGTATCCTATTTTTTTTTAATTGTCTTATACAAATGACTTTGTGATCCATGACCAAAGTTACTCCACTTACTGTACATTTTGAATTCCACATGGAGCATGAATGACCTTATTATATAATAAAGGTCTAATTAATGTCCTTGACCAATGCATATAACTAACCACTGAAGCTAGGCTCATGTGATGCTAATACAGTGATTAATAAGCAAAACATCCTTAAAGAAAAAGTAATTATTTTCTCTATCTGGTATCACTGAATTTATTTTTTCACGAAGAGGGAATGCAAGATCCAGCAAGGGTATACATAGAAGAAAGCATACCTTGCCAAGATCAGTATTAGCTTGTTTCAATTAAAAAATGAACTACAGCAATCATTTAGCACTAGCTTCTTTTTTGGGTATGGAGAATGAGAAAGCAAAATAATGAAGTTTTAACTTTCATCTGAACTTGTGCAAGCCAAGTTTTGCTTAGGACAGGTTTATTTTATAGCCAAGTTATGAACCTGTGAAAATACACAGTATTCAGTTAAAACTTTCCACACAGTAATGCTATTATAATTTAAGGAACTCTGGGATGTGTTACAAGGTCAGCAAAGCACCCTTTTATGAAAGAACTACTACTTCTAATAGTATAATATTTTTTAGTATCTAACCTCATTTCTGTATAAAACATTCTACCTTAAGTACTCCCATCCCTGAAACTTCTAAGTTCCTTTGATTCACTTACCATTCATCAAAATGTCAGTCACCTGTCATAAATAGATTTCAGGAAAAAAAATTGTCATTCAAGGTAAAGATTTCATCAAATTACAGTATTGGTTGGGAAATCTTAACCTTTAAACTAATCAAAGTTTAGAGCATATCAATGGATTTGTTGCAACAGGCATACTTTTTCATTTCATTGAGTTCTCACAAAATTTGTGATAACATAGATCTGTGGAATAATACAACATGAGTTTTTAGGGAGGATTTTGGATTTCAAGTCTGAGGTCACAGGTTAGAATCTCAGCTATTTCACCTACTACTCAGAATACTTTAAGTAGACCTTCCTGGGCTTCAGTTTCCTCCTCTGTAAACTGAGTGGTTGGACTAGATAAATCCCAACCTCTTCTATTTCTAAATCTCTAATCCTATTATCAGAGAGAATATAGGCAAGAATTGCACAGAACCTGAAGACTTAGGTGTGTTGAGATCTTCAATGATGACCCATCAACACATTAGAGGGAACAATTAATTCTTCAAGAATAAACTACTCTGAGATTGCTAGAGTAGGATATCCTATAAATCATCAGACACCAAGCTTAAAGCTACCCTAAGGAAAAAACATGTGTCAATCTGTTGTTGCATTTTTCTTTTTTAAAAAAATTATTTAATTTTTAATTTGTAGAATAAAAAAGTATTTCCATAAGAGAGTATAATTTAATAAGTCATCAGCAGAAAGTCAAGATGCTAAGGCATATGCAAAGGAGAAGAAGGAAAAGGAGAAAGCAAAGTGAAAAAAATTTAAAAAAACAAATAAGAAGAGCAGATAGAAAGAGAGAACAGGAAAGTATTCAGGGTCATGTTGTAAAATATTAGTCACAAAAGTCTTAGTTGTTATTCAGTGGAAACCACTATCCTATACTACTCATGTATTTAGCACATCAACTAAATGCCATTACATTAAGATGTTTGGATATGGCTACTATTTCAATATAAATGGAATAGGAGGACTGCTAAGGAAGCAATGAAGAAAGCATTTAAAAAAAATAATGTACATATTCCTTTCTGTGGACTCCGTTCTTTTTCACTTCAATGCTCAGCACAAATTGAAAGTTAATGTATGTGTGTCTCAATGTTTTCATTTCCAGGACATTTTTATGGGACCTTCAGAGTTAAAAAAGTTCGTGAGCTTTTTAATATTTTTTTGTTGTTTCTCTCCTACCCCCAACCATTTTCAAATAGGATATTGTTTTTTCCAATGCTGCCAGTCAGTCAATGAGCATTTATTAAGTCATTACTATATGCCACGTGTTCTGTAAAATGCTAGGTATACAAAGACAAAGCAAAAACAACCTACTCTCAAGCAGCTTATGCTCTTAGAGGGGAGTTCACAATAGGTAAATACCTAGGCACATAAACTATATGTTCAGAGAAATCCATTGGGATTACAACACTGAATGTTTCCTATTGAGAAATAGGTGATTTAAGAATGAAGGGTATCGTCAACAAAACACACAGAAAGGGACCAACTTTACCTTCCCATCTTAACCATATATGATGTGCACTCCCACTTTGAAACATTCCTTGCTTAGTGGAATCACACATCTACTCAATTAAAAATATACCAACTTCCCCAAATGCATGTTTTCATTTTGACTAAACCAATGCAATTTTGTTTATTTTTTTCATAGAAAAATACAAAAAACTGAACCTAATGCCATATATTTCACAGTTATTTAATAAACCAAAAAATGTATATTAAGCATAGTGAGAAAAAGCTGCCTCTGGATAATTGAAAATTGTCCAGAAACAGTTTAAAAACACTCAGCCAGTGTCAATAAAATCCATAAATAATGACAGAAATAGTCTGCAGAGCAGGAGACTCTACTCATTTCTGTTATTTTAAACAAATAATTTTGATCTTTTCTAAAATCATAGACCTAGGTTAGAAGTGACCTCTGAACACTTCAATCCTCTTGTTTTACAAATGAGGAAACTAAGGCCCAGAGGGGTTCAGTGATCTATCCAAGACCATATAACAGTAAATAGCAAAGCCATCATTTGTATGTCAGACCTCTGAATCCAATTTTTTTTGTTTTCAAAATATCTTCAGAAGTTCACTGAATGAGATGGGGAAACTGTCATATAATCTTTACTTACTTCATTTCCCTCTAGTTCAAAAAATTCAAATTTCACAGAAATTCGGTACTGGGTTGGAGCCACCACTTGCCAAATGCAATTTTTATTGGGAGGGTATTCTTTAGGCCAGCCTGGGGTGGTTATGGTGCCATTGAGCTTTGTCAGAAGTCCTCCACAAGCAGCTGAAACAGAAGAAAAAAAGAAATGTTTTTCCATTTCTCAAGGCTTCTGGAAAACACCTCTAAGAGCTCTCAGTATGTTTGAAAATGGATATCCTGACTCCCAATAACTGGCAGTATTTGTGTCAATAGAGTGAAAGTTTGAGTCACTACATGAAGTCTTTCCTCATCTACCAGAAGCATTCCCTCTCTAATTATTTTGCATTCATTTTACATTTTATACATGGTGGCAGTGTTTCCCTAATTAAAATGTAAACTCTTTGAGATGGGACAATTTCATTTTTGTCTTTGTATCTCTAATACATTGCCTAGCATGTGGTACATAGTAAGTGATTAATAAATGCTTGATACTTCTGTTGATTTCTAATTCTAGATAGTACTAGTCCACGTGCTCTGCCTGTTTTTCTTGATCAAAGGGCCCACAGTTGGATCTCACATCAATCCACTTAGGGGTAAAATTAACTCAAATTGTCCCATATATGCATCAGAGCTGCTGTGCTTGGAGATTTTCCTAATTGGTATTGTGGTAATATAGAGAGTTAACTCCTATATTCCCAGTTCCACAAGTATGCTAGCCCACAACAATGTGGTACAAAATGGTTTCATCTTAAATCCCATGATAGGAAGTATAGACACTGTAATACCAAAAGAATTACAGTATAAAGTGGTCTATTTTTTTTCTGGGCAATTTAATAATTTTATTAATAATACTAGAATTTTTAATAAAAGGCCAGTGGCACTCTGAAATGCCAAAGGCAAGCAGCCTAATTTATAAGGCTATCCCATGTCATGGAACACAGGGCTAATTTATAAGCATTCTAGTGAAGTTCAAGCTGAGTCAAGTCTGGGTTATAATTATTCCCTATTATTACAAACTTAGCAAATTACACAAAATAAGATTTTGATCCAGTGTGAGTTATTTATTTATTTTGGAAATGAGCACATACCTTCACAACTCCTTTTATCAAGCCCAAGCTCAAAGCCAGGTTCACAAGCACACTGATAACTTCCCAAAGTGTTTACACATTGCTGTTCACACCCCCCATTGTCAGGTTTTGCACATTCATCTTCCTCTGTGGAGAAGAGGGAGAATAATAAAACAACCTATCACGATCCCTCTCATTTCTGATGAGTTTGCCTTAATAACTGAATATGTTTTATACAAATGTGTGTATATCAACATATTTGTATATATTTATGTGTGTATAAACATGCACATAAACTAAATATCATATTTATATATGTATACATACATATCATTATTACAGTATTAAAATATATTCTATGGAATTAAAGGGATCCATTTTAAAACTATAACTTGGGAAATCAACTCTTTCAACTGACAGCTGCAGCCCTGCTTTACAACCTCTTTGTGAATGGCCTATAGGCCATTTAGGTGTCAGAAAACTAAATGTTGCATAAGTACTAAAAGAATGAGTTGAAATCCATAAGAGGGTCACTTAAAGGGCCCTTTATCTCCCACAGAATTAATCTAGGTTTTCCTGAATTTGCATTCAAAAACTGATTAACAGAATCACCCCAATCCTAGGTTTTGATCTGACTGATACTAAAAAGGAACAATAAGCACCAGCATAAAAAATCTTACAACCTACAGTATTTCTGAATGTTAATTGCACAGTAATATTTAGAATATTTGTGCTAACATATTTTAAAAGCAATTTTCAGTAGCAAGGATAAATAAAATCCACTCACTGATCTAATCTTTTTTTTTAATTCAGTTTAAATCTTCCTATATTATTTGAATGTGTAACATGCTCCAGAAAACATTGACAACACTTCCATTTTCTCTTTTTGCATTTTTCTGCCATATGAAAGAGTATATAACAAAAAAATAAAACAATAACAAACAAAAATATAATTGAAAATACAGTAATGAAAATAATAAAGAAAGAAAATTTAAACATCATTCTTTGGAAAACCCGAGTATTTTCAAAGTCTTTTCAAATACCTATCAGTATTATTTGTGAAGTGAAAAAAAACTGAATCAGGTTTTCCCTTACTCTGAATGTGACGAACTCTGATGTCTATTAAAGAAACACTACATTTTTGCTCTTCAGAAGCAAAAAATCCTCTAGCAAAACTACCAAATAAAACATTTTCTATTTTAGTTTTTGGGTAGAAATGTTGGCTTATTTTCCTATGGGGGCTAAGTTTTTAAAAGAAAATAATAAATGTAGGTTACTCAAAATATAAAACAAATGTGCATTTGAACTTATAACAGAGAAAGAAAACATAATGTCATTCTGGTTCATCCCGTATAAAATAATGAAACATTTCAAAGCATACAAATCAGAAAGCTGCTAATTGTGGAAATAAATGAACATTTAGCTATATAATTAAAAATAAATTCTTGAGAGTACTGTTTTCCACAAACAAAAGGGCTTTTATGTATTAAAATGTTCTGCTAAAGGACTCTGTGCATTAAATATTGTGGTAAGACACTCATCTACCTGTAGTGATTTAAGATAAGGTCTTGCCTCGAAACACAGGGAATGACTATGAGGTCCATATACTTCTCTCCCTCTTCTTAAATTTGTTAAGATTTTCCAAAGGAAAAAGAGAAAGAACTTAACAATAGGCACTATATTATTGCTACAAATGCATAAATGCCACTATTTCCTTAATGGCGTATTCCATCACAACCATTCTGAACATTCAGAAATACTGCCCATTCAGTAATCTAACTGCTCCTTAATTAAATGTTAATTAAATTAATTAAATCAAATCACCATTCAGGGGAGGGGGGCAGGGAAGAAGAGAAAGAGAGAGAGAGAGAGAGAGAGAGAGAGAGAGAGAGAGAGAGAAAAACAAATTTTTCCCAGCTAGAAATGGTATTGATGTGTACCTTTAAAAAAGTTAGCAGCAAACCCAGCTTTGTTAACAGTTCCATCTGAAACAAACTTCATCCACAGGGTATTAGAAGTGGACCTGATATCTTCTGGTTTATCATAACCACAAAAATGGCCAATCAAAGGACTATTTTCACTGGACCCATCTCGGATTTCCAGGTAGTCATAGGCACAGGTGTCGTGTCTTTCAATCTGCAACAGGGAAAGTTGGTGCTGTCTTTTTTTTTTTGCTAAGTGTTTAGACCATTTTTAGAGAATAGAATTTCTATGAAAATGATAATACATGAATAATTCTCAATGACACAGTAACAAAGGCATACATTATGCACATGGACACATATGAGTATGAAAGATTATGTATATGCATACACATGAACATGTATATATTTTTAATTCACCCTGCTTGCAGTATTAATAAAGAGTATATATGACTGAAAGAATTTATGGACATTCAGAATTCCTTTATACTTTGCAAATCAAAAAATGACCTCTTATCCACTGTTCTTCAATAGATGGGCAAATCTAAGAGATGAGTGTGTCTCAAAGGTCTTTCTACAGAAAAAAAGATAGATTCTCATACAAAACTGAATGTTTTTCTTTGTTATTTTATATACAAAAAGAGCTGCAAATGATGATGGTCACAATTTTAAATTTACTTCAAAACTGATGGAAATACCCAGGCCCCAAATAACTTATTTAAAATATTACAATTGGCTATAAAATAGTGTTATAATGATTTGTTTTATTTCTTTGACAAATCCATTCTTCTATTCCAGAAAATGTTGGAAACAAATTCTTTGACCAGCAGTATTTTATGCAACCTACCTATATGGAATTATACTCCTCTTAAGGCTATGAAACACTTTACTGTTAATTGGCTTGGTTATAAATGAACTAGTATATTATATGACCACCACTGGCTTCTCAATGTCTACAGTTAACAAGGCTTCAATTTAAACTAATTTTACTTATTTTTCTTCTTACAGGTCTGAGAAATTTGATTAATTTCTTTTACAGGAGAAAATTCAAATATCAGGTCAGATCTTAGCTGATGAAGTTTTGTGGAACTTCATAAGCTCGGTGTTTTTTTCTTGTTGTTTTGTTTTCCAGTGGCCTTAGATCTCCACTCCTTATTCCTCCTCTTGGTGACAAATTTTGACTATACTCAACAGCAACAAAATTTGAACTGGGAATCATCGTTTGCTTTAAAGACGGGACTTATGAAAGCACACTCTACTATCTTTTTTCCTCTATAGAAACAGAAAGAAAATGCCACTAGCTCAATAATTTCAATAGACTCAACATGTTTTATAAAACTAAATCTGGAAATTATTAGGCATATCATTGATCCCAAACCATGAGAGGACGGGGAAAGTAATAAACATTTATATACTGCCAACCATGTGCCAGGCATTGTGCTAAGCCCTTTTTAGAAATATTCTTATCACATTTGATCCTAACAAAAATTCTGCAAGGTAGGTACTATTATTCTCCTAATTTTACAGTTGAAGAAACAGGGACAGAGGTTGAGTAACTTGCCCAAAGTCATGCAGCTGGTAAGAGTCTAAGGCTGGATTTTAACTCAGATCTTCCTGACTCCAGGCCCAAGGCTCTAGCCACTGCATCACCAGCTGTCTCTGCAGCATGAGACAATGTTTACCATCTTCACTGTACAATACAACATTTTATATATTCCCTGTTACAAAATTGATATTTTAGCTATACTATATGTTAAATATGATATATCAACTATATGCTCACATAAATGAGGAGTATGAATTTCAATGAAAGATCATTTCACTATTTAAAAATAGTCACAACACATTGTCTCTGAGGGCTCAAATTTCTTCATCTAGTAATGCAACGGAGTAGGACAGATGATAAGAGTGCCAGGCCTACAGTTAGGAAGACTCATCTCCTTGAATTCAAATCTAGCCACAGATACCAGCTGTGTGACCCTAGGCAAGTCATTTAACTCTGTTGGCCTCAGTCTCCTCATCTGTAAAATGAGCTGGTGCAGGAAACGGCAAATCACTGCAGTATCTTTGCCAGGAAAACCCCAAATGGGGGTCATGAAGAGCTGGACAAAGCTGAAAATGACTGAATAGTAGGAAAAAAGTAATGTAGAAGGTAGTTAAGTATAAACATCTAGACACAGCAAAAGAAGTACATTTAGTACAATGATCTTATATTAGTAACTCCAAGCTCAATCTGGCAAAGAAAGAATAAAAAAGAATAGCAAGGCCAAGGAATTTATAGAAAAGTCTTTCCATCTAATTTCAATCTAATTTCTAGTTCAAATTTGAAGTGACCAAGTACACTGTCACGTACAATTGCACATATCATCAATGCTTTTTAATAGTGATTTAATAGTGTTGATTTCTTATACTTACTAAGGAGAACACTTTGGACCAAGTATTTTAAAATGACAATAATAAATACAGAATAATAGAGAAAAGAGTAGGAAGTTCTGCATTGTCTTCAGTAAAGAGATACTGTGGGAAAACTTCTAATACAATTTTTTTAAGACTACTAAGCTTGTATATGTTAATATGCTTTAAAATGTTCATAAAATGCAAAAAAACTTGAGCCAGTTAAGCAAAATTTCTGCCAAAGAATGCAGCTGCTTGCCAAAGGGTTGGCCTAGAAGACACTGTTGTTAATGAAAAACTGTAAAAATACATATTTAGTGCTAGCTATTCATGTGATCTGAAAGGAGAGGAAAGCCTTACTCTAGAAGCAACAAGCTAAAAACCTGTTGCATAGATCTGACTTAAAAGTCATCGGATGAAGGTTATCTGCACGCCCAGCTGCCACATGAAGTTTCTTTCTGTAGATCAAATCGATAAAAGGAAACCACCATCTTGAATTCTGAAGAAAGGACCCAGCTGTCTAATAGAACAACATTCAGGCCACAGGAAGAAATGGTGTTAGCTGGCGGAGATTAGAGATGTTTATTAAGTGCTATGAACACACACACACACACACACACACACATTCACACTACTACTAGACATGTAGGAAGCAAAGCAAGCTAGTTAAATACCAGAGGCAAATTGCTTCCTTTGAAATTATAAATAATAACATGAGGCTTTGATGATTGTGGACAAAATAAACTGGGTTCAAGTCTCCACTCTGCCCCCCTTTTTTGCCCTTTTTCTGTGTATCCTTTGGCATGACAGATAAGTCCTTTACTTTTCTAAGACACTGCATATAAAGACAAAGGACAGGGACTGATAGGGACTGGACCTTAAATTTCACTGGGAAGTCCACGACTTTTCATATAAGAAGGTACATGAAAATGTTTGCTGAATGACTTGAAAGAATGAATCAGGAAACGAAATCAAAAGATTATACCAAGACCAAGAGAAACCAAGGAAAAAAATAACAGCCTGAACAGCTAAAATTTCCTTCTCCTGAGGTTTTAATTAATTGTGCAGATGAATGTCACCTCAGAGAATCAACCCATTCCAAGAAAATTATGTGTAAATCAAATAAAAAACTCAGAGGTGCTTTAATATTACATCTGATTAATTCTCAATTGTCCGTTAAATTCCTCCTTCCATCCTCCTGCTATTCAGCCTCTCAAGTAACTAATGTTCTGTTAACTGGCAGGCTTGTCAAGTTTTTCCAGAAATACCTAAGGAAAACCTTTGTCAGTCTCTGAATAAACAGTTAACATACAAACTCAGATTCATATCCATAGGTCATAATTCTTAGTCCATTGTGCTTTCTACCACTTCAAGCTATGCTTTCAATCAAGCCTAATTTCATCTGTCATCTGACAGATAGCTATTTTATAATAAATTACAGTAAAGAGCAAATGATTCTTAGTAATATTTACAGACCCAATCTTAACTGTATATTATTATGATTATGTGTGGATATTTTCTGAAGAGATGACCCAGCACTCTACTGGAACAACATTCTAGCTACAGGGTGAAATAGTGTTAGCTAGCAGAGATGTTAGCTGTTTAGTAAGTGCTATAAGCACACATTTGTGCACACATACACACTACTGGAGGCGGTATTCTAGAGGGCAAAGCAAGCTAGATACTACATCTATGCATCAATATATATATATACACACACATATATATATATATATGCATATGAATATCTTCTAAAAGAAGAGGTATTTTTCATGAAAGTTTATTATAGAAATACAATTGACATTTGAAAAAGCTACAATAAATTTTAGGTCTTTAGAACTCAAATTCCAGTTATTATCTTGACTTCAAATTCCCCAGTACTTGCTGCTCAATACATAAACTATGGTATTGTTTATTAATTATCTGTTATGGGCCAAGCACTGGGCTGGGTGTTGGGAACACAAAACCAAAATCATTACAGTTCTTGCCTTCAAAGAGCATATAATCAAGTTATAGGATGAGATGTATGTAAATAGCTATGATATTGTAAAATGATTAAATGAAGAGGACAAGTAATATAGCCTGTGAAATGAGAGATTAAGGAGGAAGGGCTACCTGCTGGGATGGGGAAAAGCAAAGAGAATGAAGAAAAGGGAAAAGATCAGGGAAGACTTCATGTAGGGAAATATGTCAGTAAGTAGAGACAGGGGGGTGCAATCCATTCCATACAAAGGAACTGGGCTCGATCAACATTTTCACATTAATGACACAGTATTAAGGTATAAGACCTTTGTTAGACTAAAAATGTTAATGTTTCACAATGGCAGCATAACCAGAACCATAATTTATCTACCCAGTGATTGGTCTTCCTTATAGTGCATCATCCATTCACAAAATAATAACAAACAGAATGAATCATATACAGCATATATGTATATATGTGTGTGTGTGTGTGTGTGTGTATTTTCTCTCTCTCTCTCTCTCTCTCTCTCTCTCTCTCTCTCACACACACACACACACACACACACACACACACACACACACACACACATATACCCCTATCCTCCACAAAGACTATTCTTAAGTTAACAGGAAATGTTTAAAGGACTTAAAAGAACTGCTTTTAATTAGGCAATAGCCTAAGCATTAGAAGATAAAAGTTTTTGTGTCCAGGTTTAGGATGCTTTACCACAGCAATGGCAGTTCAGGCTATCAGATACCTCATAATTACAAGCAGAACATTCCAAAATAAAGAATGCATAGAAATTTTAAAAAGTGGAACTTAAACACACTTAAATTAACATGTGTATAAAGAGTAGGAATTTCAATTCAAACATACCCCTATGTTTATTTCACTTTTTTGCTTTATTTAGATTTCTTTGAAGTCATTGCTATAAACATTTCCTGTCTCCCATGCTTTCCCTTCTGCTTTAAGTGCTGAAAGGTTTTTTTTGTTTGTTTGTTAAGTAAGGGGATGACAACGTTTTCAATTTAATTTTTCTTCTTTTGTTTTATTTGGGTCAAAACTATTGATAAAACTTCATTGATGAAGAGAACTCCTGGCATGGAGACTCCCTATGCCAATGCAGATTGAAAATGGTTCTGAATCTAATAGACATCTAGGATATTGAAAGGTTAAGGTCACACAGAATGTGTCATAGTCAGCTTTGAATCCAGATCTTCCCAAATCTGCACCTACCTAGCTATCTTCTCCAGTGTTCCGCCCCTCAGAATTTTTCAAATTACGAAGTATTGCTTTTTCTTTTAATAAGTCTAATGACACAACATTTTTAAGGATAAAGAATAAATTCACTAATTATTAAACAAGGTTTTACTAATAACTTTGCACATGAAAACATAAATGCATACATTTGCACACTATCTTTAAGCAATTATGCACAGAATCATAGTCAAAAGAAGAAATCTCTTGCCTTATGTGGCAGTGATTTCACCCTCCCAGGTCACCAGAGGGTTCAATCGCCAGCTCATCAACATCTGAAATTCCTTTAACAAGCAATAAAAATTTTTATGCCATGATTAAGTTTTGCCTTTCTCAAACGTTTGTACTATTTCAATTTCAAGAAAAATTATTGACTTACCAATAATTATCAATCTATTCTATGATTGACAACTATTGGCAGGGGCAACTAGGTGGTGTAGTGGATAAAATGCCAGTCCTGGAGTTAGGAAGACTCATCTTCCTGAGTTCAAATTTGGCCTCAGACACTTGCTAGTTGTGTGACCCTGGGCAAGTCACTTAACCCTGTTTGCCTCAGTTTCCTTGTCTATAGAATGAACTAAAGAAGGAAATGGCAAAGCACTCCATTGTTTTTCCCAAGAAAACTCCAAATGAGATCATGAAGAGCGGCACATGACTGAAAACGACTGAACAACAGCAACAAAATTCTATGACAGGTGTTAAAATGTCAATTTTCTTTTCTTTTTAATGCTTTCTTCATCTTCTAAGCAGGTACTTCCCTATTATTAAGGAGGAATTCCACAAAATGCCACCTCCACAAAGCTTTTGCAGTTTGGCAAATAACTGGAAGATTCTTTTATGCTGTCTGTAAACGTTTATCGTTCCCAAGCATCACCTACAGAATCTCTGACTTCAAAGTTGGAAGAAGCATCAGATGCCATCTATTTGAACCAACCCAAATAAAATTATCTCTAAACACACCCTTCAGGTGGTGAGTCAGCCTTAGCTTGAATACCTCGAGTGACAGAGAACCAATTACCTTTGATCTTTTTTTGTAATTGTTGCACACTTTTGTCTTGCTCTAATTGTTAAGGAGTTTTTCTTTTCATAAAGCTGAAATCTTCTGCTTTGTAACTTCTATCTATAACTATTAGCTCCACTATGTGCTAGGCACTATGCTGAGCACTAGGAATACAAAAAGAGGCCCTGAAGAAGCTTATAATCTAGCAGGGTAGACAACATGCAAACATATATACAAAGCAAGATATGTACAAGATAAATAGGAAGTAATTAACAAAAGGAAGGCACTAGAATTAAGAATGGTTGGTGAACGATTCCAGTAAAAGAAGGGATTTTAGCTGGGACTTAAAGGAAGCTAGGAAGCTATATTAAATTTCTATTTACACTGCATAGTTTGATATGTACTACATGCACTGCATATACTCATCTATATCTCCTGTATTACAATGTGAGCTCATTGTGAATAGGGATTGTTTTTTTCTGTGTTGCATTCACTAGTATCTCTACTGCCTTGCGCAGTGCCTGGCATGTAGTAGTCACTTAATCTATGCTTTTTAATTGTCTTCATTACTCTCCAAGCTGCATTGCTGACTCATCTCCACATGCTGTATAAATCTCTTCACTCTGGAAGTTCACTCCATTCTAGATTACTTCTCAAAGTGTCAATGTCCTCCGTAAGCTCTGCTGCTGTGGCCACTCCCTCCAATTGGCTGGTTCCCCCTAGAATAGCCAATTTCAGGAAGAAGCCTAGGCCAACCATATGCTCATTCTTCTAGAGACTACACTGCTATCTCATTTCCAAAGGACCTTCTCTATTATACAAACCTCCCATCCGAAGCTGGGTACCTTCACCCTTACTTTTCAGCTCTCTCCAATGGGGTCTGGCTGGTGTTAAAAGAAGGGAGGGTAGAGCTCATGTAGCTGGCCATGGAGGAAGCTGACTTGGCTGTTGTGGTACAGACAAGACAGTTTGTTTACATACCTAGTCTATGACTGCTGCCCTAAGTAGAAAGTGCCTCTCTGGATCTATTTTTGGAGTTTTTTTACAGTCTGATTTTCAGTTCTAACAGTTTAATGAAGATTTAAATAAAATGCTAGGTATTTTTAAGGTAGAACCCAGCATTTTGTTTAGATCTTCATTACATTGTTGGAATTGAGAACTGGACATACATATGTTGTTGCTTTCTCCCATTAGAATGCATGCTTCCTGAAGGCAAAGACTTTCTCTCAGCTTGTATTTTTATTGCCATTATATTTCTTTTTTTTCCTGTTACACTTCTCTTACGGTGCCTGACACACAATAAGCACTTAATAATTGCTTGTTGACTGGATGGCTAGCTGATTGTTGATTTACTCTCTTGGTTCACTCAGTTGACAAAAGCTATCTTATACTCCTGGAGTCCACAGACACTAACTACGTCTTGATGTATTAACTAATAGATGTTTGGTTTACTTCTGTTCTCCTTATTAGGAAATGTACATTCATTGGCTTTCTGGCGCTGGAACTGAACCTATGTTCAGCTCTCTTTTGGTCCTGGTTTGTTATGACTTGCATGACTGTTGTCAATTATTTCTTGACAAGACAAACACTTTTTGATGATGATGATGATGATGATGATGATGATGATGATGATGATGATGGATAGTAGGGCAGCAAAATCCCATTCTCTACCTTAAAAATATTTGTTTAATCCCAAACAATAAAGAAATGGGATTTAAAAAATATTAACAGAAGAGAGTTTCCTCATTCTAATAGCAGGTTTTGAAAAAAATAAGAGTAATTATTTAGTGGTGTCCTCAAGCAGCCTAGTGGAACAGGATTATGCATTTGTCAAGGGAAACAACTGTCAGTTCTTAAAACATTCCTATTCAAGCAGCACAGATAAAATAAATTCACTTTAATCTTCTTGAAGAATTCTGCAACAGGAAGAGAAAAAAAATCTTTTAACTCTCATGTTACATTTTATAGACAATTCTTTACTTCTTCACTGGTTTAATGAATAAGTCCTTGCACTTCTTCACAATTTAATAACGGTTCTCTTAAATGCCATAGTTGTATTCTGAGTAGGTAGGTTGCTAAAGTCAGTTAAAAGGCTTTACCTCAAATGCCTGAAAGGTTAGCCCAACATTGTAGTTCTCTGATGCTATTATTTTCCACACACATTCTTTCATAGGTCTGTAGTCATCAGGATAATTAGGAGACTGGATCTGGCCTTCGTTTTTATGGATCTCACCACCGCAGATTGCTGATAAAAGTAAAGAATCCAATCTTAGCAATGGTGAATGCTGAAAATACATTTTCACTTATGTCTAAGTGATATTTTTGAAAAGTTCTTGGAGATGACGAGTACATATCAAAAGATAATTACATAGATAGGCAACCAATAGTGGTATAAATATTTAGTCCTTCATAAACAGGCCCAATCTATCCTTCCAGGTTTATTACCAACTACTTCCCTTCATGTACTCTTCAGTTCATCCACATTGGTCTTCTTGCTATTCTTCATAAATGACCTACCATTTCTCCAGTCTGTGACTTCATATAGAGCAGGGTTGAAGAACCTGCAGCCTTAAGGCCACATATGGCCTTCTAGGTCCATAAGTGCAGCCTTGTGTCTGAATCTACATTTAATAGAACAAATCTTTGTATTTTAATTAATACATTTTTGCTTGTCTTTTATATTTTTATTTTATTTTTAAAATGAATGTATTTAAAATACCAAAGAATAAAATAAGTTTCAATGAAATAATCCTCCCATATTGACTGGCACAATTAGAACATTAGTAAGCCATATAAATTGACAGCTGCTACCCTCATTATTTAGTTCTAATTTACCCCATCTCACTGGATTCACTAAGGCTGTTTAGTGAGAGTTTATGGGGATTGAGTATGCCAGTCTGTTATCAGCTTTTGATAACGGTGCACTGTGTTTCTGTTTAAAGTGGAATTTGTGAATAATTGCACAGCTCGACAGTAATTTTTAATTCTATTGGCTTAACAATCTATCATGTCAAAGAAGACCAAGAAAATGCTGAAGGAAGAAAACAAATTTCCTAATGATTGGGAATTGCAATATTGTTTCTGCTAAAGATAAGATGATTTGCTTGCTTTGCAATGCTGCAATATTAACATTAAAGAAATGCAATGCTCATCAGCATTATAATACTCATAAGGACCACGTATTTTAAATTAGAGGGGGAGTTGTGAAAAGCTGTATTGCAGAAATTAAAACATGAAAAGCAAAAGCAAAGACAATTCTTTCTTTCTTTCTTTTTTTTTACGCAGTTGGGGTTAAGTGACTTGCCCAGGGTCATACAGCTAGTAAGAGAGACAATTCTTTCAAGCAGCAATATGACCTGGAAATAATGCCAATGAAGCAACTTATAAGGTAGCTTATATACTCAGAAAAAAAGGGAAGCCATTCAGTGATGTAGAACAACTGCCTCATTCAAGGAGAACCATAACTGATTAGCAGAATGAATTAGCCTTCAGCTTAACAGAACAACTTTATAAAATACTTCAAAAGGAAAATATATATTATTCAATTGCTTTGGAAGAATCAACTGATACTACTGACTCAGTGCAGGTTTTATAGTTCATTCAGGTCATAGCAGAAGATCTTCTTTGCTACAAAGAGTTACTTGCTTTGGGCACTCTTTCGAACAGAACACAGAAGAATAGGTGTCTTCAACAACTTTCAAGATAAATGTTGTGAAGTTAGACTGAATTTGGTAAATTTAGTGGGTATATCTGTAGACAGTGCACCTTTGATGGCAGGAAAACATGAAGGTTTTACTGCACAGATTAAAAAAAAAAGTATTGACAGATCCAGATGTTCTCATTTCTTTCCATTGTATCAGCATCATCATCAGTAAAATCTGTGCTTAAAGCTACTATTTTAAGTGACACTTTACAACAAGTTAAAAGCATTGTTAACTGTATTCATTCCAGTGCAACACAGTATCATCAGTTTTGTAACATGCTAAAGATGAATGATGAGGTATTCAGTGTGGATTTCCCATATCATTCTAAAGTGCGTGGGCTCTCTCAGGGACAGGTGTTAACCAAAATTTATCTATATGAGAATAGATAGCTAAATTTCATGAAGAACAGAATCAACAATGTGAATTACTGAAAGAACATTCTGCAGGAATGTTGAATTTCTGTGTGATATCATGTCAAATCAAAATGACTTGAATATTTCTTTGCAAGGTAAAACCAAGTCTACACATGATATGTGGCAAAAAATATCCAAGCACTTTGAAAAAAGCTATCTTTTTTCAAAACAGTTCTTCAAAAGGAAATTATAGATGAACATTTTCCCCAGTTAGCAAAGGTCATCTATGAGCAGAATGATATATATGAATCATTTGAGGAATACACAACTGTTATAGACCTACTAATTGCAGAATACAATATAAAGTCCACTGACTTTAAGAATGATGACATCACACTCAAATTAGCATTTTGGCCTCACCTAGTTGATATGACCAAGGTATTAAAAAACTACAGATGGAATTAACTGAGCTCTCAGTAAATGATATTGTTTGATGCTAAGAAAGATCCAATTGGAAGATGGCAGAGTAAAGGCAAATATCTTTTAAAAATGACTTAAAGGAATTCTAGATCAGCAGAATCTACAAAAAGACAGAGTGAAACAAATTTCCAGCTCAAGACAACTTGGAAAGTCAGCAGGAAAGTCTGTTGCACCAGAGTGAAACAAGAGCACAGCTGAGCACAGGCCCATACCCCAGCAAACCCAGAGCAGGCCTTGGGGCAACTGAATTGCAGGCAGCAGTGACAGTTTCCAGACCTTTCAGCCTACAGACACTAAAGACAACTTGCAAAGTCAGCAGGAGAGGTCTGTCACACCTGGGTGAGAGTACAGTGCAGTCTAGCACATGCTGTGCCAGCACAGCCTTGGCCCACAGCAAACCAGGAGCAGGCACTGGGAGTGACTAAATCAGAAGTGGCAGTGGCAGTGGCAGTGGCAGCAGCTGTTTCCAGAGCTCTCAGGACACAAACAGTAAGGGGGTTGAACAACTTCTTAGAAAGAGATTACAAGGGTCTTTTTGCTAGTACTGAGGCAGGATTCTGTTGCTTTGCACATACTCGAGTCTGGGTCACAGTCCTGGGTGGCAGTCCCAAAGTGAGTAGGAGTAATAGCACAGCAGAACTTATGGCCACAGGGGAGCAGTAACACTGGTCACAGTTCCAGGACAGAAAAGAGTGCTTGTGACCACTCACAGACCAGAGCACAGGCCAGGACAGGAGTAAACACCTCTTCTTACATCACACCACATTGGAGGAACTGAAAACTTATAGATCCCTAGAAGTATCTCTGAAAACAGCTGAAGAAAATCCCTGAGGCTTGGGACATTGAGCCTTCTACCCTAGAAGCAAATTCCTACTTTAACAAATAGTTCAAGCCCAGTAATAAGCTATGAAAATGAGCAAACAATAGGGGAAAAAAACTCTTGACTATAGAAAGTTATTATGGGGACAAAGCACACCAAAACACACACTGAAAAGAAGACAACAAAGTCAAAGCTCCTACATTCAAAGCCTCCAAGAAAAATATGAATTGGTCTCAGTCCATGGAAGAGTTCAAAGTGGATTTTGAAAATCAAGTAAGAAATGGAGAGTAAAAATTGGTAAGAGAAATGAGAATGATGCAAGAAAATCATGAAAAATACATCAACAGCTTGGTAAAGGAGACACAAAAATACTGAAGAAAATAATACCTTAAAAAAAAGACCAGGCCAAATTGTAAAAAGAGGCCCAAAAAGCCAACAAGGAGAAGAACATCTTAAAAATCATAGTTGGCCAAATGGAAAAGGAATCCAAAAGTTCACTGAAGGAAATAATTTCTCAAAAATTAGAATGAAGCAAATGGAAGCTAATGACTTTATAAGAAAACAAGAAAGCAAAACCAAAAAATTTTAACATTATGAAAAAAAGGAAGACAATGTGAAATGACTTAATGGAAAAGCAACTGACTTGGAAAACAGATCCAGGAGAGATAATTTTAAAATTATTGGACTACTTGAAAGCCATGATCAAAAAAAGAGCCTAGACATCATCTTTCAAGAAATTATCAAGGAAAACTGCCCTAATATCTTATATCTAGAGAGTAAAATAGAAATTGAAAAAATCCACTGATAACCTCCTGAAAGAGATCCCAAAAAGAAAACTACCAACACTATTATAGCCAAATTCCCAAGTTCTCATATCGAGAAGAAAATATTGCAAGCATACAGAAAGAAACAATTCGAGTATGGTGGAGTCATGGGATAACACAAGATTTAGCAGCTTCTACGTTAAAGGATCTGAGGCCTTGGAATATGATATTCTAGAGGACAAAGGAACCAAGATTACAAACAAGAATCACCTACCCAGCAAAACTGAGCATAATCCTTCAGGGGAAAATTGGATATTCAATGTGATAGAGGTCTTTCAAGCATTCTTGATGAAAAGACCAGAGTATTAGGGTAGTTAGAAGTAGTATACACAGACAGAGATCACAGGTATGAGTTGAATATGAAGGGATAATATATAAAAAAAGAATTAAGGGTTAAAAGTTAGGAATGTACTGGGAGATAGAGAAAAGGAGAGGTAGAATGAGGAAAATTATTTCACATAAAAGAGGCAAGAAAAAGCTTTCACGGTGGAGGGAAAGAGAGAGGAGGTGATTGGGGAGTAAGTGAACTTTACTCTCATCAGAACTAGCTCAAAGAAGGAATAACATACACACTCAATTGGATATAAAAACCTATCTTACTCTACAGGAGAGTAAGCAAAGGTTAGTTAACTTTAAAATTAACAGTTTTCATTTTTTGAAATTATTAAGTACGTAGTAGTTAGATTTTTACAAAATACTGTGCGTTTTTAAGTATATCTAGTTGAAGTTTCTTGAATGTGGCCTTATTTGATTACAGCTAAATATTAATGAAGTCTTCCAACATGAAAATGTTCCCCACCCCTGGTATGGACTGTTCCCAATACTGGGAATACATTCCTTCCTCATCTCTGCCTTTCAGAATCACTAGCTTCTTTCAAAATTAAACTAAAGGTCTACCTCTTATATGAAGCATTCTTGATCCCTCAGTTGCTACTGCTTCTACCTAAAAAAAAATAACCTTGGGTGAGTGTGGATATGTTGTGTGAAGATTTTATACATATATACACATATATGTGTGTACATATGTGTGTGTTCACATATACATTTTGCATATACTATTATGTGTTCATTCAGTTTTTCAATAGAATGCATGTTCTTTGAGGACAGGGACTGTTTCAGATATATCTTTACATTCAGATATACCTTTACATTCCCAACCATGTAATTCCATTGGTACAGACCCAAAGATGTTAAAATCCTCCCTCAGAGGACTGTAAACAGCCCACAAAACTCCCAAGTTTGGCAGGACCTAGATTAAAATGTAATTGGGATTTAACAAAATAAATAAAAATACAACAAAAATAATGTTAATTTGTGGTTTTCTAAGTTAATATGCAGCCAGCAAGGGACCTGTTTCTATTTGAATTTGACACCATTGACACAGGGAACTAAAAAAGAAGCTCTCTAAATCAATGAAAATCAGCAATTCTTCTGCAACTTACAGTATTACAGACTTGCCTGTGGAACTGAAAGGTTAAGAGACCTACCCAGGGTCACAAGACCAGGAGGTATCAGATGCAGAATTTAAACTAAAATCTCTGGATCCCAAGACCAGCTGAGCCTCTACCCATCACAGCAAACTGTGTCTCTAGCAACCCCTCCCTTAAATATTTTAAACAAACATATTTTAAAAATATGTTTGTGACTTGAGAGGAAGAGGTTGAGGGAAAAAGGTTATTTTATAAATTTATTATCCAAGAATGTTTTCGGTAATCTGTGAACTCTCCTTTATCCTGTATTGACTTTAAGTAACAGGGTAGATATAATCTTTATAGCAAACATCAAGTCCCTGGCAAGAAACTTATGGTCATTTGATAAACATCTGTAGATTATAACCAAGTAATTCACTGCTAAACAGCTAATCTTTAAAACAAAAAGGCCTCTGCTTATGTAAAAGTTTTAAAGGAAAAAAGAAATCTGTTAACTCTCTTCTGAATTACCTAAACTACTGTGCTAGCAAAAGCAGAACCAGATTCATTTTAAAAGAAAAGGAAGGTATTTATTCTTTCCTTGGCAAAGAAAGACTATTTTTCAAAGCCAGGAAATGTAGTACCAGTTTATTGTTTAAAAAAAGTACAGAACAAAGCATTTCATAAACTCTCCATTATTTAAACAAAGCATCCTCAAGACATGTCCAGGATACTTTCTCCCTCCCCACCCTCATCCACAACCCCAGAATTTCCTATAAGAGATAGAAGGTCTCAATAGAGGAATTGGCAAAGTGAGTCAACCAAACCACACTAAAGGAAAATAGCAATTTCCTTATATTTTGCTAACACTGCAGAGGGATTTTAATGTGTGAGAACTAAAATAAATGCCATGTAAAGAAGTGCTATGTCATTTCGGAAAAATTTCCAGACTGATTCATATTCATTTATAAGGTCACTGATACTGGAAATAGGAATCCTTGCATTTCCTCATTCTTATGATTTAAAATGTTTGAGCCTTTTATACGGTCATTGCTTCATGTTAACCTGGCTCCAGAAAATTCTTGATTTCAAATGAAAGGAATAGACACTCTGCTAGCACAATGGACCAAAAAATAAAACAAAATAAAACACACACACAAAAAAACAACTCCTCCCCCTTGCCAAAAAAAAAACCAAAAAAACCCCCCCAAAAACATTTCTTGTTAGCAGGTTCATGCACAAAATTAAGTCATCTCTAAGACTCAGTGTGACTTGCCTTCATAAACAGCTGCAAAACCTTTTCCTACCCAATTACTGCTGCTTCGAAACTCAATCCACATTCTGCTGTCAGTAGATGTTAGAACTTCAGGCAATTTGTCACCACAGAACCTGCCTAAAAGAAACAAAAGTCAATGGGATTGTTGAATGTGGTAATTCAAGCTCTAAGAGACTACAGCTTTTTGTAACATACTTCACTGTCTAAATTGATAAACTATCTCTAGTCATGTCTATGATTCTGATGGTTAACAATAAAGAACAAGAATTCTATACAATGTAAAGGCACATTTTTAATATCACTCAAAGTCCTAAACACATGTTGTTGCCATATACCAAAAGTTTAATCTATTCAAAATCACTTTTTAAAATTTTATTTTCCTTCAAAGACTTGAGCCAGATTTTACCAAGAGAAGTCAAGAAAAAACATTATTTTTGGTATGCTATGGGGATAAGGAGGCAGGAAAGGGAGAGAGAAGATTGGCAAATTACTTCCCTGGGAAGGTAATTGCTAAGTTCACTGAGAATATAATAGCCTCTTTTGGAAAAAGTAACTTACTTTGTGCAGGTAATCACTTTTCTCTCAGGATGATGTTTTCCTTACCCAGCTTTGCCTTAAAATTCAATATTCAGCTCTATTCTTTTCTATTATTAAGTGTTTTTAAAATACCCATGCTACTTCTTTGTATATCTGTTGTTTTCCCCAAAAATGATGTCACTTTCACATGACAGTGTTATACAAAACTTAGTCACACAGAAAACAAATAAATTCAAAGCAGCCATATAGCGAGTAGACTGCTAACCTCAGAATCAGGAAGATGTAGGTTCAAGTCTTGCTCAACATATACTGTCTATCTGACCACCACCATCAAAACCGTCTTCTCCTTTGCAGGTCATTTAATCTCCAGGTAGCCCAGGTAACTCTTAAAGCTATAAATTGTAGAGCAGGTGCTGATTTGCATTGGTTGAGTGAGTTCCCTAAGCCAATGTAAATCATGAGTCTAGACTTCCTCTTCCAAAATAAAAATAAAATAAATTTGGGCATATGCAATTGAGCAAGGTTTCTTTCATTAAAAAGAGTAAAGATCTCTTAAAATTCTTGGCACACAGTAGTAGGAAACAAACTCACCATTGCTCTCACCCTTAAATTGAACAGGAGACAACTGTAAGACTGCCTACTTCATGAATGTCAATGGTACGGTCTGTGATCTAAAAGTTGGCAACAAATAGGCTTTAATTTGTGCCCAGTTAGGACAACACCATGTGGCACAAATTGGAAATGTTTGCTCCTAACCTCCAATAACTCAGGGAGAAACTTAACTAAGAATGTTAACATTGGAGACAGTGCATTTAACCCAGTAAAACCACAAATGAAACTTGTGCCTCATACTGCTGAACTGGCAAAGAAAGTACTACCCCATTTCTCTCATCAAAACTATGATGGTTGTTGGTTTAAACACACATGCACGCACACACAAACGCACAAAATCCTTTTAAGAAGTAGTTACTATAAGAGCTATGGCACTCCTGTCATTTGGCACACTCATCCTCAAGTTTCTGCTTTATAACACATTACTCCACTGAGAGAAAATCTGTTTAAATATATTCCCTGAGCTTCTGTATGTAACAGAAAGAAAAAAGCTATTGACTCGAAATACAAATTTCAGGTCTCAAGATAATATAGATAGACAGGAAGTAATGGCAGCCAACTCAGTAGATAACAGCTTACCTAGCAGAGGTGATTTTCTCCAATACCCATCTCTGACTTCAATGTAATCATACCAGCACAAACTACTCTTGTAGAGATCCATTGTAGTAAAGTTTAAGACAATCTACAAAATGAAACAGAACTGCAGTCATGCATTGGTTGAATATCACCTGGCTAAAAAAGATTCATCAAGAGTGCTTTTAGTTTATCAACATATGCTGGTGACATACTAGTAATGTTGCTCAACAACCAACATCTCAAATCAAGGTTACATCCCTTCTTGTTGCTGGGTTTGTTTTAATTAACTAATTTATTTTTAGTTTTCAACATTCATTCCCACAAGATTTTGAGTTCCAAATTTTCTTTCCATCTCGTCCCTCACCCCACCTCAAGATGGCGTGTATTTGGAATACCCATTCCCCTAATCTGCCCTCTCGTCTATCACCCCCATTCTTATCCCCTTCCCCTTCTAATTTCCTGTAGGGAAAAATAGATTTCTATACTCCATTGCCTGTATATCTTATTTCCCAGTTGCATGTAAAAACTATTTTTAACATTTGTTTTTAAAGCTTTGGGTTCCAAATTCTCTCACTTTCTCCCCCTACCACCCTCACTGAGATGGCAAGCAACTTGATATAGGTTATACATGTGTAGTCATGCAAAACACTTCCATAGTAGTCATGCTGTGAAAAACTAACTATATTTCCCTTCATCCTATTTCACCCACTCCACTTATTCTGTTCTCTCTTTTGACCTTGCCCCTCCTCACAAGTGTTTGCTTCTGACTACCCCTTCCCCTAATTTGCCCTCCCATCTATCATTCCCCCCAACTCTCTTATACCCTTCCTCCCCCCATTTTCCTGTAGGGTTAGACAGCTTTCCATACCCAAATGAGTGTGTATGTTATTCCCTCCTTAAGTCAAATCTGATGAGAATAAGATTCACTCATACCCTCTTATGTTTCCCCACTTCCTCTCCACTGTGGAAGACTTTTCTTGTCTGTTTTATGTGAGACAATTTACCCCATTCTATCTCTCCCTTTCTCCTTCTCCCAGTATAATCTTCTAAACCCTTAGTTTTATTCTCTAGATATCACCCCTTCATTTTTGACTAACCTTATGCCATCTATCTATCTATCTATCTATCTATCTAATCTATCTATCTATCTACCTACCTATAATCTATACATGTATTTTTCCCTCTAAGTACCCTAATAGTGAGAAAGGTCTCATGAGTCATAAATATCCCCTTTCCACGTGGGAATATAAATAGCTCAACTTTAACAAATCCTTTATGATTTCTCTTTCCTGTTTTCATGCTTCTATTCAGTCTTGTATTTAAAAGTCAAATGCTCTATTCAGCTCTGGTCTTTTCATCAAAAATGCTTGAAAGTCCTCTATATCACTGAATATCCATTTTTCCCCTGAAGGATTATACTCAGTTTTGCTGGGTAGGTGATTCTTGGCTGTAATCCTATATCCTTTGCCCTCCAGATTACCATATTCCAAGCCTTCTGGTCCCTTAATGTAGAAGTTGCTAAATCTTGTGTTATCCTGATTGTGTTTCTACCATACTTGAATTGCTTCTTTCTGGCTGCTTGCAATATTTTCTCTCTGACCTAGGAACTCTGGAATTTGGCTATTATATTCCTAGGAGTTTTCCTATGGGGATCTCATTCAGGGGGTGCTTGGTGGATTCTTTCAATTTCTATTTTACCTTCTGGTTCTAGAATATCAGGGCAGTTTTCCTTGATAATTTCTTAAAAGATGATGTCTAGGCTTTTTTTTTTTGATCATGGCTTTCAGGTAGTCCAATAATTTTCAGATCATCTATCCTGGATCTATTTTCCAGGTCAGTTGTTTTTCCAAGGAGATATTTCACATTGTCTTCTACTTTTCATTCTTTTGGTTTGGTTTTACACTGTCTTGATTTCTCATCAAGTCACTAGCTTCCATTTGCTCCATTCTAATTTTTAAGGAAGTATTTTCTTCAAATGAGCTTTTGGACTTCCTTTTCCATTTGTCCAATTGTGCTTTTTAAGGCATTCTTCTCCTCCTTGGCTTTTTGGACCTCTTTTGCCATTTGGGTTAGTCTATTTTTTATGTTGTTATTTTCTTCAGTATTTTTTTGGATCTCCTTTAACAAGCTGTTGACTTGTTTTTCATGATCTCATTTCTCTTCCCAGTTTTTCTCCTACTTCTCTTACTTGCTTCTCAAAATCTTTTTTGAGCTCTTCCACAGTCTGGGACTGATTCATAGTTTTCTTGGAGGCTTTGTATGTGGGAGGTTTGACTTTGTTGTCCTCTTCTAGTTCTATGTTTTGATCTTCTTTTCACTAAAGAAAGAGTCTATGGTCTGACTCTTTTTGCACAGTTTGCTCATGATCGCAGACAATTATTTGACTTTTAAACTCTTTGTTAAGGCACAGTCCCAGGGTAGTGACTGCTTCCAGTGTGGAGAATGTACTATCCCAAGCTTCGGAGGTTTTGTGCAGCTGTTTTCAGAGATACTTCTAGGGACCTGTAAATTTTCAGTTCTTCCAAGGTGGTATGATCGAAGGAAAGGTGCTTCTTCCTTTCCTAGCCTGTGCTCTGATCTATGAGTGACCACAAGCACTCTTTTCTGCCTTGGAACTGTGAGGAGGATTAACTCTTCACCACCATCACAAGCTCTACCACACCAGCACTCCTCCTTGCCCCAGAATCGCCACCCACACTGTGACCCAGATCCAAGCACAGGCAAAGCAAGAGAATCCTCTCTCAGCACCAGAAAAGAGATCCCTGAAATCCACTTCTGATCAACCACTCAGTTCCCCCTCAGCCTATGGGCCAAAAGCTCCAGAAGCAGCCATCACCCTGGAAGCAGTCACTACCCTGGGACTGTGCCAGGTCTGGGGCCAGACCAAGCCCCTATCTCATCAAGGTCCGACAGACCTTTCCTACTGACTTTATAAGTTGTCATTGGTATTTGTGGGTTGAGCCACAGCCACAGCTGCCCATGATTCAGTCCCCTGAGCCCTGCTCCAGGTTTGTTGATGACCAGGGTCTTTGCCTGCTGGGCGCACACTGAACTGCACTCATCTCCCAGCCTAGCACAAGAAACCTTTCCAATCAACCATTCAGGTTGTTTTGGGCTGGAAATTTATTTCATTCTGTCTTTTTGTCGATTCTGATGCGCTAGAATTTATTTAGAGCCATTTTTACAGGTATTTAGAGGGATTTGCAGGGAAGCTCAAGCAAGTCACTGCTTTTACTCCACCATCTAAATCCCTTGTTTCTAAGGAAGCACCTATTACCCTGCTGCTGATAGTAAACTGAAATGCTAATTTCAAATGGAATAGTTCTGATTCTAGATGAACTACCTCTCAAGGCTTTTACTTTAAAAGACTGCCAAGCAAATGCCTATAAAGTCATTAGGAAGCAATAATAAAATCTGGAGCTGCATTGCCAGGATCTATCTGCCTGAAATCAAGATGAAAAGTTGTGCATAGTATATTTGCTGATTTTCTGCGTCAGAAGCCCTTTCAGGTAATACTGTGACACACCCTCTGATTCAGATTTAACTATGTCCTTTACATCTATAACCCTGGCATTAGATTCACAAGGTAACACTAACTCAACAACAATTTCAAAGATACTTATTTGCCATCCAATACACAAGGGCATAATTTTCAGAATCATTTATTTTTGTCATTGACTCATTCAAAAATTAGTTTTAAAATCACTTGCGATGCTATAATTAAATCAATATGATATCTTGGTCAAATTGTTAATTTTATTAAATCACTTTTGAAACAGTACATATTTTCATACTTTGAAACATTCTAACCATTCAATTTGAATTTTTATACATATTTTTTTCAATTACTACACCATTCCTGGTTCTTTATGCTAGATGCCTTGTGAGGAACTTTAACTAAAGCAAGAAAGTGCTGAGAATCAATCCTCTTATAATAATTTACCACAATATTCAAAAGGAAATTATTTTTATTCACCAGAAATGATAAATATCAAGTTCCTTTCCAAGAACTTAAATTTTGTCAATGTGAAGAAATGACCTTAATCACTGTATCATAAAATTATTTACTACTGAACACTGTTGAAAGCTTTTCCTTCCATAAAAATTCCAATTGAAGTATCTACACACCTAAACATAATTTTCTTTACCCAGCTATGGTCTCTATGGATTCTTATACTTATAACTGGTTTGTTGATAAAAACCTCTGAATAGTTTTATTCTCTCTGAATAAAGATCGTAACATGGTAGGGAATTTCACAGGTATCAAAATTCAGTTAATGAGCAAAAGGAACTAGACGTGCTCCCTAAAAGTGGCTGCATAGATACCACTGAGACTAGTGGGATAAAATCCATGAACAGAATGTGGTTCTCAATGAGTACAGTGTATTCAAAAGAAACAGGATAAATAAACATAGGAATAATGTAACATTATATATTAAGAAAGTAAAGTTGTGTGATAAAATCCAAGAACCAAGGAGAAGAAATTTGACAAGGTATTTGAATGAAAAGCAATAGAGAGATAAAAGAAATTGTTTCATTCCAGGAATATAGTATAGAACACCCAGAAAAAAGAAGAAATAGATGGGGATAGGGAAGGTTGGGAAACATTCCAAGCAAACTTATAGAATCAATCATGGCATAGTTGATAAAAATCTGACCTTGAAGCCATGGAGTCCTGGGTTCAGGTTCCAAATCTGACACATAATGTTTATGTTAACCATTAATCAAAGATTAATGATTAAATTAATCATTTAATCTTCAATGCACCAGTCAACTCTCTAGGTTGCAAAGAAGGTGCACTGACAGGAGTTTCTTTACCTTGAAGGTCCCAAAAACAATGAAATCAGAGATCTAGCCTCCAACCTCAAGTAAAAATTCTTACATTTAGGCTTAAAAAAGGCAACTCTGCTAAGTATAAAATGGGTTGGAATATGGTTGGAAAACACTTTATTGAGAAATATATGTTCAATATAAGTGAATGCTATGATTTTGGCTGATTCAACAGACAAAAAAAAATAATGCAGCTTTAGATTGAATTAAGATGCAAAGCTTTTGAAGACATTCCCCCATTATTTCATCATGCTTAGATCATAGTTTAAGTACTAA